GCCTCTCGTGCCTGCATCACCATGCCCGTTTCTTCTGTGTGTGTGTGTGCGCGCGTGCACGTGTGCGCGCATGTGCGTGCGTGTGTGTGTGTGTGCATGCTTGTTGCACATGTGTGGCCGGGTGGGCATGAATCAACAGGGATCTCGCATCCAACAAGCTTGACGGAGACCAAGTGCTGCCCAGCATCACCTTTCCCACCTTGCGATTCCTGTACGTGCTGCTGCGATTTCTCCCTGCTATTCGTGCGTGTGCTTTGGTGGATGCTCCATGCCCCTCTCTAATGCTCCATGCCCCTCTCTAATGCTCCATGCCCCTCTCTAATGCTCCATGCCCCTCTCTAATGCTCCATGCCCCTCTCTAATGCTCCATGCCCCTCTCTAATGCTCCATGCCCCTCTCTAATGCTCCATGCCCCTCTCTAATGCTCCATGCCCCTCTCTAATGCTCCATGCCCCTCTCTAATGCTCCATGCCCCTCTCTAATGCTCCATGCCCCTCTCTAATGCTCCGTGCGCCCCTCTCATGGCATCGTGTGCCATCAGGAATCTTTCCAACAACCGACTGACTGGCAATTTGCCTGAATATCTCACCACCATGACTAACCTGGTCAGCCTGTGAGTGATCTCTCTGCACTTGTACCTCCGTCCGTCCATCGTTTCTCTTCCCTCCAGACATGCATTCTGAATTCACACTGCACATATTCGCACGTACTGTGCAACACTATTGTCTTCTGATTTTGCTGCCGTTCTTCCAACACATCTCCAATGCCTGTTCCATGCCCCCTCACATGCGCCGCCATATTTCATGCCACTAATGTTAATACATTGTCAGTTTATACTACAAGAGCATGCATGGCAGCATAGGTCCACTGTATGCAGATCCCTTCATCTTTCGCACCTACGTTCCCTCGTTCGTTGTGGCCCTCTGTCTTGCCTTCGCATGAGTGCAGAAGCGTTGCTTCCAACTATATGGAAGGAACCATCCCCCCAGCCCTTGGAAAGCTGGACAAGCTCTCAACTCTGTACGTAATAAGAAAAGAAGTGTACTTAATCCACTAGTCGAGTGGCAGCTAGCTACCTAACAGGTACATCCTCTGAAGGCTGGTAGTAGCCGACTAACTAGTTCAGTGGACACCGGACAGCCAAGGACGGCAGTGCACAAAACAGTCCGATGGGCCAAGCCAAACGAAACCACTTTCTCTTCCAGTAGAACAGAACGGTTGGTGAACATGCTTATGCCGGAACGAAAGTGGAAGGGAGGGAAAGAGGCTGGCATTTTCTCAGCCACGATCTTCTATGAGCCTGTACCCACCCACCCCTCCCCTCCAGTCTCCACAGGCGCAATGCCCCCTGCATTGAAGGACGAGCAGAGCAGACAAGTGCAGGTAGACGATTTCAGGGGTGAGGCTCATCTCTTAGGTTATCATTCTCAACAACAATGCCCCCTGTCTCTGCAACCGCTCTTCGTCTTTCGCCCCCTGTTTGGCTTGGCATACTCAGGGCCACCGATAACAACAACCTCACGTGCCCTGACAGCTACAGCAGCTGCGGTGTGCCTCAGAATGAGTCCTCTGGCTTCTGCGGCGCCTGCCCTGACTTCTGTCCCACATGTGAGTTTCGTTCTTGAGAGGAAGGGAGGTGGAGGAGGGGTAATTCTGTTTCCAATTTAAAACCAAGATGCCCTGCTGTGCACCCAGCTGCCATGCTGTGCACCCAGCTGCCATGCTGTGCACCCAGCTGCCATGCTGTGCACCCAGCTGCCCTACCGCCCCTTGAATTCAATTTTGTCAATCACTTGTCGGTTGAACCTGTTCGAGTCCTCTGCTCTGTTGGCAGGTGACAAGCACAAGCCACTTCCTTGGTGGGCAATAGCGGCAATCGTGGCTGGTGCTGTTCTCACTGCGGCGCTCGCTGTACTGCTCTACCTCTACTTTTTTCACAAACGTGCGTCCCGTCCCGTCCCGCATCACACTGCCTTGCCCTTGCTTGCCTGGCACATGCACAGCACCGACGAGTCATGTGGCTGCCGTCTCTCTGGATCTCTTTATTGCCACTGTCATTGCCGCTCCACTTCCAGTCACCTCCTCCCGTTGCCACCACTTTCTCGCCTGCTCTCTTTGCCCGTTTGAAAACTCTCAAGGGCGCTTTCTGCAACCTGGTTGAGCGCCAATGGGGCCTCTCAGCCATTCCAGCAGCACTCGCTTCATCACATGGATGCGCACACTTTTCACGGTTATCAGTTGGGCTTCATTCTCTTAATCGCATCCGCTGCCTCCCAATTCCTCCACTTCTGATCCTTCTTGCAGCGCTGATGAGCAGCAAGGCGGTATCGCAGGTGTGTCAGGAGTATTCACTGGCGGCGGTGGCGAAAGCAACCAACGGGTGGTCTGAGGCCAACCTGCTGGGCGCGGGGGCCTTTGGTGACGTGTACCGCGGCGTCTCTCCCACCGATGGTGTCACGCTGTGGGCTGTGAAGCGAGCCAAGATTGTCACCACCGACTTTGACACCGAGGTGCGCGCGTGTTGTGGTGCTAATGCGTCCGCGTTCGTGTAATGTGGTGTGATGCGATGCGATGTGGTGCGATGCGATGCGATGCGATGCGATGTGATGTGATGTGATGCGATGCGATGTTATGCGATGGGATGCGATGTCATGTGATGTGATATCATGCTATGTTACGTCATGTCACGTCGTGTTGTGTTGTGTCGTGTCGTGTCGTGTCGTGTCGTGTCGTGTCGTGTCGTGTCGTGTCGTGTCGTGTCGTGTCGTGTAGTGTCGTGTCGTGACGTGATGTGACACAATGTGATGTGATGTGATGTGATGTGATGTGATGTGATGTGATGTGATGTGATTTGATGTGATGTGATGTGATGTGATGTGATGTGATGTGATGTGATGTGATGTGATGTGATGTGATGTGATGTGATGTGATGTGATGTGTGTTAGTGTTAGCCCCCAATCTCAACTTTTGTACTTATATCCTATCTTAGTGTAGTTTGCACTTTGTGTTTGGTTGGATGTACCCACATCCCAACCAGACCCAAATGTGATCACCAAGCAATCTCCAACCTACCAATTGGAGATTGCCCTGGGATTACCCTCAATCCCCTAGGGATTGCCCCCGATTCCCTTCCCATCCATACCTTGCTCATTTCGGATGTACTTAAGGAGCTTCAAGCTCATTACTAATCTATCGATTCTAAGCTCAAGTTCTAACAATGTGATGTGATGTGATGTGATGTGATGTGATGTGATGTGATGTGATGTGATGTGATGCGATGCGATGCGAGGCGATGCTTACTGACGTGGTGTCATGTGATCTGATGCAATATGACGTGGTATCATGTCATGTCAGGTCAAGTCGCGATGTGACGTGACGTATTGTGATGTCATGTCATGTCATGTCATGTGATGTCATGTGTCATCATGTTATGTCATGTCATGTCATACCATGCCATGTTATGTCCTGTCGTGTTGTGGTGTGACCTGTCATGTGATGTGCACTTGGCGCAACTGTAGTATCCACATGCATGACATGGCCTTGGCCATGGCCCGTCCGTCAGTAACGGACAGGTGGGCTGCGGAGGTCTTCTTTCCATCAACTGTAGTAACTGTAGTGTCCAGATGCGTGACATGGCCATGGCCATGGCCCCTCCGAGCGTGTTCCATCGGCTGTCGGATGTGCCACATGACCGTTCTTTCTGCACACCCTCTCGCATATCGCGCTGTGCTTCATCGTTGTTTCTGCCAGGTGTGTGTCACATCACATCACATCACACACCCACGCCATTCTGGTAGGCAGCAGTGTCAGATCGATCACTGAACTGTGCTGTACGGGGCCCACTGTCATGCCTGGCAGGTGTGTGAGATGGCAACGAAGCACCACCCCAACCTGGTGCGCCTGCTGGGCTTCTCCCTTGGGATCTCCGGCAGGAGACGGCCGGAGCAAATCCTCATCTACGAGCTCATGCCCAACGGGGACCTCTCGCACTGGATCGGGAAAGGTGTGCAATCTAACACGTGCACTGCCAAAATGTCCCCCACCTATCTGGCCTTGCAGGTGTGCCTCTTCATACAGGTCTCATTTTCTACTTCTCAGTATCTCCTCTCTCCACCCCTCCGTTCCCATCCCCTGCAGGGGCAGTGAAGCCCCTGAGCTTTGAGCAGCGTGTGAACGTGCTGGTGGGGGCGGCACGCGGCTTTGAGTATCTCCACAGCTTCGGCATCGTGCACCGCGACATCAAGCCCGCCAACATCCTGCTCGACCAAACCATGCAGGCAAGAGCTGCAGGCATGCAGGGCTGTGTCGCCACCACGATTGTTGCAGCCAATGCTGTGCCACATGCTCTCTTAAACTGGCATGCACACATGGGCCTGTGTGTGTGCGTGTTGTGCCTAATGTGTGAGGGCAAGCTAAGATTTCTTGTATGCATGATCGCAGGTCAAGATCTCGGATTTCGGGTGTGTGAGGAAGGGAGGGGGCACCACAGCGCAGAGTACGAAAATGGTGGGAACACCAGGCTATGTAGACCTCTCTTATGCTTGGTCCAATAAGGCCACCACTGCCACTGATGTCTACAGGTGAGCAACAAACCCTGTATTTCTCCAGCTGGTTTCTTTCTGTCGTTGGGCACCTCTCATGCGTTCCTCTCCTCTCCTCTCCTCTCCTCTCGTCTCCTCTCCTCTCCTCTCCTCTCCTCTCCTCTCCTCTCCTCACCCATCCACCGGGTGTCGTTGTGTGCAGCTTTGGCATTGTCATGCTTGAGGTGATGACGGGCCGCCATGTCGCCACCAATTCTCTCGTTGGTCCCTCCGACGAAGAGGCGGGCCAACAACTGCACATTCTTTCTTGGGTAAGTCTGTGGGCATGGAGAGAGTACCGTCGTAACCCTCGTTTCCGCTCTTTATTCATTCTCTCATTCATCCGCGTGTCTTTTTTCACTACTTTATCCGCATACCTTTCCGTTGTTTCATCTGCAATCCTGTTTTGTGTGGCACCAGGTCCAGCAGCAGCTGGCTCAATATGGCGGCAGCGAGGCAGTGGCATGGCTAAAGGACGCGCGCATGGAGGCGCGGGATGAGTTGGTGTTGAGGGTGGTGCAGCTGGCTCTGCGATGCACTGCCATGCCGACCGCCATGCGGCCGGCCATGACAGAGATTGCAGCCGAGCTGGATGCTGTGCTGGTGGAAGTGGGCGGCAAACGCATCAACTCCGCCGCCCATCAGGTGGATCAGGAAATGGAGTCGCAGAGCATGTCTGCTCCGAGTTTGGATGCAGAGATCGATCGTGTAGCTAGCCACTTGTGATGGCGTGGAAGTACCTGAGCTGGCTTTGAGTCGACTCAGAAGTCAGCTCGAGTTTGGATGCAGAGATGGATCGTGTAACTGGCCTCTTGTGATGGCATGGAAGTTCCATCCATCCCCTGCGTGATGGCGTGGAAGCCGTAGGTGCATTCCCTGCTGCTGTTGCAAAGTTCCATGTTTCGGTGCCTACACCTTGGATTAAGTGTGTACCGCATAAAAATGGCATGAAACTGGGAACTGTTTTCGGAAGTGTAGTGGACTATAGATGATGGAGGTGGCGTCAATTTAGCATGTCAACCTAGCAGGCTCAAGTGTATAAAAGTGGCTGAGAATTTAAAAGCCATGAACATGAGCTGTATTGTCGTGGGATGGGGGCATACCGAGTGGGTGTTAGCCCACAAAAAAATTGGCATTGGCATCACACCGTGAAAATTTAGGTGGAATTAGTTGTGATAATAAGTTGTATGCATTCAAAACCCTAAGACGGCATGTTCTGAAATGTCTAATGTAGATGACTAAGTGCCTCAAGACTGATACAGCAGCACCACCATACCTTTTTAAAGTGAATGAATGTTAATGTAAATAGTCTTTCCTTGTAGGCGCTTGTGATCGCAGCCTCTGCAATCGCTTCTGTCAATAAAGAGAATGGCTCTGCGACCCACTTCCCCCATTCACAGCCCCAACCGTTTTGGCCGAAGCGTTTTCGTGACGATTCTCCTCGCTTCTCTCTCCATGCCCTGAGCTGAGCTCACCCACCCACCAGAGGTCATGGCTTTCCGCGGCACAGCCGTCGCACCGCCCTCCTCCACCCCATTCCCCTGCCGCGATCCGCCTATTGCGCGATTCTGCCCGCACGCACAAGCAGACGTTACCCCCCTTCCGCCCCCGCCGTCGATTTGGCCTCGCGATCCGACGACCCACCTCGACTCGTCCGATGCGCGTCTCGAGTCGCCCTCGCGTTTCAATCACGAAAATATCACAGCTTCCCCGTTGTCGCATCTTAGAGTTGGTTCCGAACCTGGGTCGTCTTTAGCGGGGGCACATGGGGAAGGTATGCGCCAATGCGCGCAGCCCGCTCCTGTAGCGCACGACTCTTCCGCCGTTTCCGCCGCCTGCAGTCTATTTTGCGCGCACTGCGCCTCCATCCTCGTCCCCTGCCTGTGCTGCGCCGCGCTCCTTATTCCCCCCGCTCTGCCTTCCTCGTCCCCTGCTTCTTGCCATGTACCCACGCGCCGCCAGCGCGGCTGCGGGGAAATGGCGGGGAAGGGAGCGGCTTGCGGCAATGGGGCGGCGCGGAAAGACATTGGCGGAAACAGGGGGGGAGGCGGAGGCAGCGCTGGTGAATGCGGAGGGGTAGGAGGGCCGGGCGTGAGAGAGGCAGCAGCGGCAGCAGGAGAAGCAGGGGCATCAGGAGCAGCAGAGGCAGCGGCAACTGCGGCGGCAACCCGGGCAGAGGCGGTGGTGACTGGTGAAGGTGTGGGGGGTGGCGGGGTAGGTTGCTCGCCGCTTACGCTGCCCCTGTCGCCTGTCAGTGGTCCGCGCACAGTTGGGGGCAGCATGCAGCAGTGTAATGATCGGTGCAGACATGGGGGGCAGGAGGGTGAGGGAGGCGAGGGAGGAGCGGGAGGAGAGGGAGGAGAGGGAGGAGAGGGAGGAGAGGGAGGGGGAGCAGCAGAGCAAGGCATGGTAACAGCGGGCATGCGCTGTGGTCGCTGCGGCATTGCTCTGCTGCACCCCTTCTGGCACCCCACACTCCCATCTGCCGCCGCCGCTGCAGCTCCCGTTGGCGCTGCTGGATCTAAGACGGACACTGATGCCAGCAATGTGAATGGTGCTGATTGCACTGCCTCTGCTGTCCCTGCTTGCACTGCTGCTGCTGCTCCTCCACCTGCTACTGCACCTGCTGTGGCTGCACCGTGTGCACATGTGTGGCCCGTGAAAGCATTGAGCAGCGCCCGTGTGGAAGAGCACCAATCACCGTGGGACAGCTGGCGCGATCTCCTTGGGGTTTGGCCAGCGCAAGAGCTTCCTCTTGCCGTGGTACGGGGTGCTGCGCTGTGTGGTACTGGGTGGTGCTGTGTGGTACTGGGTGGTGCTGTGTGGTACTGGATGTGTGGTGCTGTGTGCAAGGCTGTGGTGGATCAACTGCTAACCGTCTCACACATGCGCAGTACTGGCCGCTGTGCCTGCTTCTCTTTCTGAACCTACGCACCCTCCCCTCACTGTACTGTCAAGGAATTCTCCCTTCTTGGATATCATATGCTTGTCTGCCTCTCCTTCCTTCCGTCTCCTTCCTTTTCCTCCCCCTTCCGTTTCCTTCCTTGCCCGTGTTCATTCAAGTCCATGTGTACACATGTACCCACCCACCCACCACGTGCCCACCATCCATCAGCTGTCGCGTGTGCATGCCACCAACTGGAGTCGTCGCTCCTATCTGCTCCTCCTCACCTCCTCCTACCGCGCCCTCTCCTCAAAGGTCCGCCTCTCTCCCCCCTTCGGTAAGGTGCTTGCTTGCTCTACCATCGCGAAATCTCAAGCCACGAAAATTCTTGCGATTCCATGCTATGCAAGGCGTTGTCTTGTCCTCGTTACTGCTCAGCCCACACCCCTTAGGGCTCTTTACCTGCACGCGCTGCTTGGTGGGTGCTGTGCTGTGCTGGCCCCATCTGCGCTGCTGATGAGTTGTGCAGCATCAGCAGCAGCGCTAACCTGTCTTGCTGTGCCACTTTTCCTCTTGCCAGCTTCGTGAGGGCATGCATCACTCCAACGCTCCTCAACACTCCAATGCTGCTCTGCGCTCCAACGTCCCTCCTCCCACACGTGGCACCGACAGACACCACAGCGGCTTGCAGGTGGGGGGTGCGGAGACAGCAGGGGCGGCGAGGACTAGATCACGGGGGAGTGGAGAGCGGTGGAAGGGCCGCGAGGGTAATCTCCATGCTGAAAAGGATGGTGGAGGGAGGAAAGGTGGGGCAAAGAGTGGAGCAGGGGAGAAAGGTGGGGAGGGGGATGTGAGAGTGGAAGTGCAGGGTCTATCAAGCGAGCGAAGAGGAGCAGGGAGAGGGGGACGAGAGTGTGTCCGGACAGGAGGAGGGGATGGACTGGAGGGGCGCGAGGGGAGTGGCGCAGGAGGGGTAGGGGGCGAAGGGGAGGGGAGGCAGGGGGCTGACGATGGGGCACGAGCAGTGACACGAGGAGCTGATAGGACCCCCACTGCTGCTGCTGCTGCTGCTGCTGCTGGTGGTGCTGGTTCTTCTGCTGCTGCTGCTAGTGTTGCTGCTTCTGGTGCTGGCCGTGGTGATGGCGATGGAGATGGGGGTTGTGGTGCTGCTGTACGGCGGTCGGCCATGGGTGCAGGGAGGCAGTTGAAGACATGTGAACGGGCGGCCAAGCGAGTGTGCTTCGGCACACAGGTGCAGCAAGCAACGGATACATGACAAGGATGTTGTTTTTTTCGGCATGTTTGCCTCTTCCACCACCTCCAACATCTCTCCTCCTCTTCTCTCCTCTCTTCTCCTCTCCTCTCCTCTCCTCTCCTGTCCCCTCCCTTTCATCCTTCAACCATTCGTTTCCTTCTTCGCCCCAAGCACTCTTACTCTCTACCCATCCTCAATCTCCATGTCCTCTCTTCTTCCCTCCCTACTCCCCCCACTCTGTCCACCATTCCCCCTCACAACACCCACCAGGAACCCAAGGGCACCACAGCCACACGCCCTGCCCGCCAGTCCCTCACACCCACCCGTGCATCCGCCAGCAAGCCATCACCAAGCCACCCATCTCCATCCCCTCCTTCCAACACCATGCCTCCTCCTCGCACTCCCTCACTCCCTCTCCCCGCCTCCTCCCCTGCTGCTGCTGCCACCCCACCCGCACAGCCCTCCAGAGCCCTCCGTCCATCCACGCCCTCCTCCCCTCAGCCTCCCTACACACAGCCCATGCGGCCGCACTCGTCTCTTCCCTCCCCTGCCCGTGAATTCTCTCCTCTGCCTCCTGCCCGGGCCGTAAAACCTCGCAGTGGTGCTGCTGGGACGATTAGGGGCTCTCAGCCCGGGCAGAACCAGGCTGCTTGCTCTCTGTCCCCAGCAGCAGCAGGAAGGGGAGGCGGAGGCGGAGACACGGCAGCAGCAGAAGCTGTTATGCCAGCAGCAGTATCAGAGGGAGCAGAGAGGGCAGAGAGAGCAGGAGCAAGAGGGGCAGGTGGAAAGTCGCATTTGTCAGTGGAGAGAGGGAAGGGGCAAGGGGCGAGAGGCAGTGTGGGTGCAGGAGACAGAAAGAGGAAGGCGAAGGTGAAAGGCAAGCAAGGCGAATTTAGGCAGGTGGCAGAGGCAGCGGCAGAGGCAGAGGCAGAGGCAAGGAAAAAGCGATGTGGGAAAGGTGCTGCTGCTGCTGCGGCAGTGGATCATGCTGCTGTTGGTGCCACTCCTCGCACTGGGGACACTGACCGTGAGCGAGTGACAGGTGCAGTCACGACAGGAACGACTGCTGGTCTTGCTGATTGTGGTGCTAGTGGTGGTGGTGGTGGTGCTGCTGCTGCTGCTACTGCTGCCAACGGTAGCAGCAGAGGTGGGGAGAGGAGCAGTCAGGGTGGCGAGCAGAGTAAAGGAAAGAGTCCAAGTCGTGTGCGTGCACCCAGCAGCCATCCCAACACCATACCTGCACCTACACCTGCGACCACCACCAGCATGCATGACATGGAACACCATTCCCCACGCCTGCGTCTCATCCACATGCGAGCAGCCCTGCTGCAGCAGAAATGCTCCTCCACCCTTGCTCTAGAGCTCTCTTCTTTCTCCTCCTCACTCCTCTCCTCCCCGACCCTTCCCGCTTGCTCCCCTTCCTGCTCGTACCGACCCTCCGGCCGAGCCTATGCGGCCATGCGCACTGCTCGGACCTCGCTGAGAGGTTCGGGTTGGAATTGGGAAGGCGGAGGAGGGGGAGGAGGGGCCATTGGGTTTGGAACCTTGCACGTGAATATGCTGCGGCTGTCACTTGAAGTGCTAGGAAGTGGGGACTGTTGTGAGGCAGAGAAGGGCACGGGGAAACGAGGAAGCAGGGGAGAAGAGGGTGGAGATGGTTGTTTTGGTGATTTCGATTGTCATCGTGCTGCTAGCAAGAGGGTTGGTGATGGTAATGGTGCTGGTGGTGGTTTCAGTGTTGGTGGTGATAACCGTGTTGGTGAGGTTGATGAGCCAAGTACACGGGTAAGTACTGATCCCGAGAAGCACCTGCCAAGTACACAGGCTGGATGGCAAGCAGGCAGGGAATGCATCTCTATCAGTGTCTTAGCGAAGCTGGTGGTGGGTGGCATTTCTCGTCTCGTAGTGAGGCAGAGAGCACCGCGTGTGGATGCGCAGAGGAGGCTGGAGATGAGTGACGTGGCACGGCAGCTGCAGGAGGACCTAGGGACTGTCGCCAGGACATCAGCTGCTGCTAATGCTCGTTCTCCTGCTGGTACTGTTGCTACTGCTCGCACCACTGCCTGTGCACCCAGTACGGAAAGAAGTGAGGACGGAACTAGGGCTGGATATACCCCTTGCACCCCTGCACCTCCTGCACCAACATATGATACCCTCTGTAGAGGCTATCTGCTGCATAGTGGAAGTGGTTTGGGCGTAGGTGTTGGGGGATGCAGAAGGGCAGCGGGGGCAGCAGGGGCAGCAGGGCAACAGAAAAGGGTACGGTTTCTGGATGGACTGGGGGGAAGTGGCATAGGAGAGAGCACTCCTGAGGCAGATAGTGGCGGTACGTGGAGTGGAGGAGGGGGCGAGAGGAGTCTACCTCTCTCGTTCCTCCATGCCAGACTCATTCAGCACACTAGCCAGTGCAGCAGCAGGAGCAGCAGCCAAGAGGGCAAGGAACTGGGATGTGCATTACGAGAAGGCATTCGCGCTGGGCTAGCCGTGCAGATGCCACAGCCCCTTGATCCTTCCTCCTCCCACCTTCACCAGGCACCTCTGTCCTCCCATCCACACCGCCGCACTGCCACCAGTTCCCACCCTCTCCCTCTCCCTCGTCCGTCCCCCCTTCCCCCACCAACCCTGCTCCTGCGCCAGCAGGTCAACTCCCTGCTGCGCATGTTGCATGACCTTGCGTTTACACTGGCATGCCCACTCGCACCCCTTGCTTCCCGCACGGCTCCTCGTGCCTCTCCTCAAGGCCTTTCGGTCTCCCTCGTCTCTATCCCCGACCCCACTCGCCTGCACCTGCAGCAGACTCCGTCCATGGGCACAGGGATACAAGCCCGCCCAGAGTCAGGCTGGGCGATGGGAATGGGCAGGGGCATGGGAAGGGATGACTGGGGTGATAAGGGGCTAGGGAGAATGGAGGAGTATGGGAGGGAAGGTTTTGCGGACGAGTTAATGGAGGAGAGCCCGAGTGTGAGTGAGAGGAGGGAGGCCGTGCGGCTGTCACACCATTTGTTGGTGCTAGCATACCATGAGCTTGCTCATCTTGATTCTCTCATCTGACATGTGAGGTACACTACTGTATGT